GACTTGTCCATAGCCCTAAAGTTAGTGACAGAGATAACTATACTTACATTCAGCACTTTCCATTATATACCACTGTCAAAAGATAATGACTTTTATAATTTGTCTCTCTCTCCCTCTCTCCCCCCAACTGTGCTATATTTTATTACTGGTATGCCTGCTTTCCCCTTTTAGCCCCATTTTCCTTTTTGAGTACCTAGTTTAATGAGTTTTTTTTTTTTCTCTTTTTGTCAGCTACCACAAATCTGAAAAATATATGTAGATCTTCTCCAGAACAATAAGACTATTTCCCTACTTACTCTGAACTTATTTTCTTATGATTAGGTTATCTTTTTGGACATCATATTCTTTGAGGTGGAATTTGTTTACCTTGGTGATGTCTTAATTTCTAGACTGGTTTACAGATTAGGGAGGATGCCTATACAATGAGAGAAGAATATTCTAATTCTAACCTCTTTCATGCATCATGGAAGACAGCAAATTGAGAGGAAGTTTTCCTGGATTCCACTTATGTTCCATAGTCTGAATGCTACAATATCATTATAGCCAAGTTCTGTTAGTGTCTACTTGACTCCAGATTAGGAATTCAGAAAGCAGTGAAGTAGTAAACAGTGTTTTCATTTTTTTTTAATATTTATTTTTTAGGTGTGGACGGACATAACACAATGCCTTTATTTTTATGTGGTGCTGAGGTTTGAACCCAGTCCCGCCCATACTAGGCGAGCACTCTACCACTGAGCCACAATCCCAGCCCCAAAAGCTTTTATTTATTTTTTTTTTTTTGGTGGTGCTGGGGATTGAACCCAGGGTCTTATGCATGCAAGGCAAGCACTCTACCAACTGAGCTATATCCCCAGCCCTGTAAACAGTGTTTTTAGACAGAATAGTGTAGTGATAGCATGAAGCAAGGATGTGAACTAGATAGCAGTACTTAAGAAAATGAAATCAATGTTAGAAATGTTACAGAATTATAATTGTCATTACTTGGTGACTAGTTGAATATAGGGCACGTGAGAGAAGGAGCTGTTAGTTTCACATCTTTATAGGAGGAGTGAATCTATGCAGGAAGAGTGATGCATTCCATAATGGAAATAGTGAAGTGAACTGAAGCAATCAGGAAGATAAGGAATCTGCTATTTAGACATTTTAAGGTGATAACTGGACAATTAGATGGTCAATGGTGTGGTAAGATAAGTCATTATATGTAAGTGCTGTTTAAAGCAGTTAGCCAGATGCAGTGTCACACCTGTAATCCCAATGGCTTGGCAGGAGGACTGCAAGTTCAAAGCCAGCCTCAGCAAAAGTGAGGCGCTAAGCAACTCAGTGAGACCCTGTCTCTGAATAAAATACAAAGTAGAGCTGGGGATGTGGCTCAGTTGAAAACTTCCCTCTGAGTTCAATCCCTAGTACCTAAAACATAAAAATAAAAATAAATAAATCATAATAGTTAAAATTTAACACTTTGAGGATCTGCCATGTGCTGCTATATGTACTGCATATGTATTATTTCCCATAGCCATTCTTAGAGCTAACTAGGTAATTCCAGATAAGAAAGCTAAGGCAGGGGCTGGGGTTGTGGCTCAGTGGTAGATGTGAGGCCCTGGGTTTGATCCTCAGCACCAAATAAAGATAAATAAATAAATGTATTTTGTCCATTTACAACTAAAAAATATTTAAAAAGAAAAAAAAAAAGAAAGCTAAGGCAGAGTGAACTCTCCAAGGGCACATAATTAGTAAAGAAGCATACCAGTATTCAAATTAAACAGTCTTAACTCCAGAGTCAGTACTTTTAATACTTATACTACCTCTTGAGATCTCAGAGAAGTAAAAAGGGAAAAACAGAGAGCCTGTAAAAACAGTATTAAATTTTAGAAACACCAGCCAAAGACACAATAACAAGAAAAAACCCAAATCACTAAAAATGACAGAAGTGTAAGTTAAATGAAAAAAGGAGAAAAATGTTTCTTAAAGTCAACTGCTACCAATGCCTTAGAGAAGTCATTTTCCTAGCATTTGAAAACTGCACATCTTCAAAAGATAACCCTGTAACCCAGAAAGTTATGTGATTTTTCCAAAGTTAAGAATTATGTTTTGGGGGCTGGGGTTGTGGCTCAGTGGTAGAATACTCGCCTCTCACGTGCGAGACCCTGAGTTCAATCCTCAGCACCACATAAAAATAAATAAGTGATATAAAAGTATTGTGTTCAACTACAACTAACAAATATTTAAAAAAAGAATTATGTTTTGTTTTGGGCTAACTCTATAATTGTGACCTAGTAATTTTATTTTTAATTCACTGTTGTTATTCAAGTAATTATATGTGTGTATATATAAATACGTAGACATGTTAGAAAGTAAGTGTGGCTATGTATTTTTTAACTGAGTTGGCATGGAAAGATACTATGATATGTCATTTATTGCAAAAATAAGTTTATCAAATTTTCCATTTAGTAATGGAAATTGCTATCAGTTTCCCTTCACCCTTCTCACCAAGCTTTGTTGTAGGACTGCTACAAAACTCAACGTTGTTTAAGGTGTGTAATGTCAGTGAGCTCTTATTTTTCTCTATCATTTGAGAACTAGACACTTACATGCTAAAATCCCTAAAGTAGCATTAATATTATGACAAGAAAACTTGAAAGCTGAAGTTTATTTATTTATTTATTTTTAATATTTTTTAGTTGCTGATAGATCTTTATTTTTTTGGTACTAAGAATCTAACCCAGTGCCTCACACATACTAGGCACGTACGCTACCACTGAGCCTCAGCCCCAGCCCAGAAGTTATATACACACATTATGTTTTATGGTAGTCTACATAACTAAAAGGATTTTTAATCCTTTTAGTTATGTAGACCTTGTTATGTATTCCTTTTAGTTATGTAGACCTTGTACTGGGTCTTCAGGGAGAAGTAACTAAGACTAAGGGAAAGGACAGTCCAGATGTGGGAAATAGAGATACAGAAGTATTGAGGGAAAAGTAATAATTAAAATGCAAAAAATAAGAAATTCTAATATTCTACTTCCTCACTTTAGATGTAAACCTAGTTTTACATTGTTTCAGAAATGTTTATATATAAACATTTATATATATATCTTCATTTGCTTCTACTTTTTAAAATAATATAACTTTTTACATGTTGAAAACTTTTTTTGAAGGATTTAAGAAGTGAATTATAAAGTGAATTCAATTCTAAAATATATTTTAAAAATAACAGGAAACTAGGGGCTGGGGCTGTAGCTCAGTGGTGAAGCGCTTGCCTAGCACATTTGAGGCACTGGGTTCGGATCCTCAGCACCACATCAAAATAAAGAAATAAAACAATGGTATGCTGTCCATCTATAACTGTAAAAATAAATTTAAAAAAATAATAGAAGGCTGGAATGGTAGCTCAGTGATAGAGTAGTTGCCTTGCATGTACATTCTTGAGGCCCTGAGTTGGTTCCCCAGCACTGAAAAAGCATACTATTAGCACAGTATTCTTTATGTCATTATCTTGGGGAGTTATAGTAACGCAATTTTTTGAAGAAACTATTCTAAATTTGTTTTTTCTTAAAGGTTTTTACTTTTAACAGCAAAACCCTTACTTTCCAAACAAAAATTATACACACAATCTCCAAAATTGAGTTGATTTGCCTGTTGTCTTCCCTTGTCCCTCCTGGTATCCCTAAAATACCCCTGAAACCTTAGGGCTCTCCAAACAGTTTGATAATCACTGGTCAAAACATTGGTTATTGAAGATTTCATGAGGTTCCCTAGTTGACTTTTTAAATGGCTATCATCTGCCAGTAAATGGCTATCATTTGCCAGATGCCTACTATGTGGTAAGGACTTTACACACCTATCTCATCCAATCTCAGAACAACCCATGGGATAGATACCATCCTCATTTTAGAGAAGAAATTGGGGCTCATAAAGGTTAAATAACTTGCTCAGTATCACACAGCTAGAAGTGGCAGAGCCAGGATAAGAAACTTAAAGTCTACCCTGACTGTAAAGTCCATGTTTTGTTTAATAAGCCTTATAGAACAAAGCTTGATAGTGAAGGACTCTTAAATACTTTATAGGTAATCTCATCTATTGCTCATAATAGCCCTCTTATTCTCATATTACAGATAAGAAACTGAGGAACAAAGAGATTAAGTAATTTACTTTTGTTGTTATTCACCATATCCTTTCCTAATGACAAATTTTAGACTAGTCTAACATACACACATTTGAGAACCTTAATTAATTTTTTTTTAACCCAGCACATTCCAAAGTTAAGAATCATGTTTTGTTTTGGGCTAACTATATTATCTTTCCTAAACTTAAAATATTCAAATTTCTGAAAACAAACACCCTAACAACCTGGAAGTTTGTTTCAATTCTGTTTCCTGTTTTGACATTATTTAAATACTATGTCAATATCTGAAGATGTTTTGTTGCCGTTTTAAAATTGGTAACTTAGATTTTTTTTTTTTTTTTTTTGGTACCAGGGAGTGAACTCAAGGGTACCTGAACACTGAGCTATATCCCCAGCCCTATTTTTTGTTTTATTTAGAGACAGGGTCTCACTAAGTTGCTTAGTGCCTCACTTTTTGCTGAGGCTAGCTTTAAACTCTTGATTCTTCAGTCTCAGCTTCCCGAACTGCTGGGATTACAGGTGTGCACCCAGCACCTGGCTGGTAACTTAGATTTTTATCTCAGAAATGGCTGAGGTTCTTTTTTTTTTTGGTTTTGTTTTAGGTACTGGGGATTGTACTCAGAGGTGCTTTTAACACTGCGATACATTTCAAGCCTTAATTTTTATTTTTTCAATTTTGAGACAGGGTCTTACAAAGTTACTGAGGCTGGCCATGAATTTGTGATCCCTCCTGCCTCAGGCTCTCAAGTTGGTAGAATTATAGGCATGTGCCAACACACCTGGCAGAAGTGGCTGTTCTTCAGTTAAATTTTTGTACACTTTATTTTAATAAATTTAAAAATCTTATTAAATTCTAAAAGTAAGCTTTCCATTACAGGTTATGGCCATTGCACCAACTCATTATATCTGGCAACGAGAACGCTCTGTGCACCACAGTGGAGCTGTAAGAAACTATGACAGAGATGAAGTTCAACTGCCCCGGGGACCTAGTGCCACACCCTTAGATTGTTCACTCTGTGGTAAAAAAGGAAGATATGTTAGACTGGGATTGTCTTCATCATCATCTTCATCCAGTGACACAGGAGAGCTGATGGAAAAACACTCTCAGGAATCACACAACTCATTATCAAAGGACATAATAGGTGCTCCTTCTCATGCTTATAGCTATTCTCAAGGTATGATTTAGTGATAAGACAGAATTAGATTTATGCATGTTATTTATTGAGTTCTAGTCAGTCCTTACAGGTAGGGATATATGATTATTTATATATTACAAATAATTAAATTACTTTGAAAGTTTTCCCCTTTTCAGTTACTACTTTTGTCTCGTGTCCTTATGTTTTATGGTAGTCTACATAACTAAAAGGATTTTTAATGACATATGTTAAATTGAGAACTAATGCACTATAAGCATTAAGTATTACAGCCTGAACCATTTCTTTGAAATGTTTATTCAAAAAGGATTTCAAGATAAAAATAAATTTACTTTTAATATTACCATCTAACTATTGGCTTCCTTCTATATACTTTTTCATTTCTAACAAAATTAGAAGTATACCATATCTAAGCCAACTTTTTTTTTTTCATTTATCATAAAGCATCTTCCTATGTCATCATGTAGTCTTTGAAAGCCTTATTTTTAATCCTGACATGGAACAAGTGCCATAATTTATGTGAATATTTCATTTTTGTTGAGATTTAAGTGTTTTGAACAATGGTATCTTATATTAATTAGAAAGTAATTATATTAACTGGGAATATAACCACACTATTTTTCAAGTTATTTTTATACATATAGTATTTCTCTGGCATTTCTAAATGGAAATAGTACTAGAAAAAATATTCTGAAATATGAATCTTCGTTACTTATAAAGGCTTTCCTCCAGATTTTTTTCTTCTTTTTTTTTTTTTTGTGTGTGTGTGTGTGTGCGCATGCAGGGTACTGGTGATTGAACCAAAGGCCCTCTACCACTGAGCACACCCCCAGCCCTTTTTATTTTATTGAGACAGTACTGACAAGTTGCTGAAGTGGGCTTTCAACTTGTGATCCTCCTGACTGAGTCCCCTGAGTTGCTGGGATTACAAGTGTGCATCTGGCTGTTTCTTCCAGATTTTCACCCATCTGAAGATAGGATTGACAGGTGTCTTATAATTCTGTTTAACTCTATCATAAGAAATTAACTGACCTGGATTACTTCAGAATTTTACCTATTTTTATCCCAGCTTTACTAAAGGAGAAACTAGACTCTAGACACTAGAAAGTAGAGGTTGTGTCCCAGAGTTCCCTGGCCATAGTAATCATTCAACAAACTTGACTGACAGTATAACACCTCAAGCATAATTTTTGTTGTTTTACTCATATTTGAAAGTAAATAGGGTCTACATGGTCTTTCTTTGGTATTCATAATAGGTAAGATGAACTGAATTTTTAAAATGTCCCAGGTGCCGAGAGTAGTAATAATTTTAGATTCATAATATCATTTAATATTCACAGACAACCATATGGTAAATACTGTTCTCTCCACTTGGCAGATAAGGAAACTGAGGCTTAGAGAAGATAAATAATTTGCCCAAGTTAGTGATACAGAGGGATACAAAGAGCTGATGCTCTGTTCCAGGTTTGTATGCTAAACCTTAACATAGGTAGTTATCAATGCTTCTGAGTTTCCTTCAAACAAAAGAAAGCAACGCCTCAATCTTCAGGTGAAAACATGTTTTTCTATCTTTAATTTTTTTTCCTTAAAAATGTTCCAAAAGAGCCAGGCATGGTGGCTAATGCTCGTAATCTCAGTGACTCAGGAGGCTGAGGCAGGAGGATCACAAGTTTGAGGCCAGCCTCAAATCATCTGAAACCATCTCAGAAACTAAATAGGACTGGGGATATAGCCCAGAGGTAAAGCACTCCTAGGTTCAATCCCCAGAATCCCACTCCCCCAGAAAAATTCAAAAAAACAAATCTGAATTGCCTGTGATACTTAGAAATGTTTTTCACTTGAAAGGTAAAATGAAACTGTCAAAACATTTCACTTTTGGGAAGGAAGATAGATGAGATCTTCTTTATGATTTACATATAACACAATCACCAATCTCATTTGAAACCAATCCCCCAAGAAATCCTGAAATGGTATTACGTTATTCTTTTTACTGATGAAAAAACAAGCACCAAAAAAGTCACACCATTACCAGGTAAAACAATACCAACAGAAACCAAGATCAGAACCCAGTTGTATCTGAATACACAGCATTTTTTTTTTTTTTTTTTTTTTTTTTGCTGTGGGAGATTGAACCCAGAGCCTTACACAGGCTAAACCCATGCTCTACCATGGAGCTACATCCTCAGTCCCCACAGCACTTTTTTATACTAACCAAACTATTATTGTTTCTCTTTATGCTATGGTAAGCTACATGACACCTAAGCTGGTCCAAGTGAAACATGGGATGCATTATTATGTATTATCTGAGGACCCCTCAGATTTTAGAATGAAGCCCAGGGATAAAATTGTACCAAGCCTTAGTACTGGTGCAGGGCAGGCACAGAACAGTCCAACTGATAATTATACTCAAATAATTTTTCTCAAAAATACATACTACTTTATGCTTTCCTATTTATTTTTGTCATTACCCTTGTTATAGTCATACAGGTTGAAAATCCTTACACTTAATGAAGACATAATCAGCGTATATAAATTAATGATGTAGCTGGACATGGTGGTACACACCTCTAAATCCCAGCGATTTAGGAGGCAGAGGCAGAAGATTACAAGTTGTGAGGCCAGCCTGGGCAACTTAGTGAGACCGTATCTCAAACTAAAAAAATAAAGGGGCTGGGGACATAGCTCACAGGCAGAATGTTTCTGGGTTTAATTCCTAGTATCACTAAAAATAAAACAAAACTTTATGTATTACTATGAAATCATTGACTTAACAGGCTTTTTTCTCCCTTTAAATACTCAGACACCAAAGACAGTTTAACATTTTTGTGTGTGTGTCTTGCCCTGGGTACCAAACCTAAGGCCTTAAGCATGGTAGTCAAGCACTCTACCAATGGAGCTACATCCCTATCTCTTTATAAAAATCTTCTTTTGAGCCAGGCACAGCAGTGCACCTGTAATCCCAGCTATTCTCAAGGTTGAGGCAGAAAGATCACAAATTCAAAGCCAGCACCAGCAACTTGGAGAAACCCAAAAAAACAAAAATAAAAAAAAGGCAGGGCTGGGGTTGTAGCTCAGTGGTAGAGCATTTGCCTAGCACACATGAGACACTGGGTTTGATCCTCAGCACCACATAAAAATAAATAAATAAAGGTATTGGGTCCATCTACAGCTTAAAAAAAGGACTAAGGAAGAAACTTAGTGGTAAAGTGCCCCCTGGTTTAAATCCCTAGTACAAAATATATATATACTTTTGAAAGTGTCTTACTAAATTGTGTGCAGGCTAGTCCCAAACTTTCTACACCCGCCTCCCGTACCCAGTAGCTGAGATTACTGGTGCAGGACACTGATCTGACTTAACTTTCTTCCAGTATCTCCTTTTATATAACCATGGAACATTCAGAAATTCCTGCTATCTCTGAAATATAAGGTTCAAAATCAAAGCCTTCTACAATTCAAGAATTATATACCTAAATCTTCCCCTTAGAACAACCAAGACAACAGACGAAACTACATGATCCAGTGCAGGCGTAAAGCCATCAAACTTATTTACCAACTTCTGTCTGGGAAAGGTGGAGCAAGACCTGAAAAGCAATGGGAGGAAGGTTTTTTTTTTTTTTAATTTTTTTATTGTTGGTTGTTCAAAACAATACAAATTTCTTGATATATCATATGGGAGGAAGGTTTTGAGTCATCCCAGATCTCTAAGAGTTTACAGTATGATATCTGAGAGTCAGGCTTGGACATAGAAAATTAACATTACAAAATATCTATATTATATATAAACCAGTTTGTCAACATTCTCAGTGGACTGAAGAAAAGGCTTAAACTGGGACTTGATTAATTTTGTAAATAAATTCTTACTTGCTTGGTCTTTGACTCATATTTAGAATGGAAACCACATAAGAGAGGTCTTGTTCAATTCCATATCTACTGAACACATTGTACTGAAGAGAAGTTCAGTGTCCTACATAAAACAGAATTAAAGGACAGCCCATTCCTTTGCTCTTAATCCTGCCCCTCTACAAGTAGACAATTAGAACCTGACACATAATGGGCATTTGAAACTATAGTTATGCAGAAATATAACATCAAAAGAATACTCTCCTCTAGGTGCAATCAGTTCTCTGATGTAACCAGAGTGATTTTTTTTTTCAAAAACACAACTCTAAGGCTATTATCCTTTACTTAATTCAATCTTTCAATGGTACTCCATTTTTTTCTTAGGATAGACAAATTCCTCAAAATGCCAGAAGATCCTACATGATCTATGTACCTTTTAGTCTTTTTCACTCACCTCTAGCATCACTGGCCCTTTTCTCATTTTCCCTGCCTAGTCAATAATTATTTACCATTCAGGTCTCAGTTCAAGTGCTGCCCCTATTATGTCTATTCATAGTACCCTCTATTTCTATGGAACATTTATTATAGTTTTATTTTTATATTTGTGTAGTTGTTTATTATCTGGCTCTATTATGAACCATAAACTCTGTAAAGCAGGTTTTTAGGTTAAAATTCTCCACATTCTATAAACTGTTATAAAAAAATTTTTACATACACACACATATACACACAAATATATATATTTTATATATATATAATTAAAAAAAAAATAGTTATAGTCTAAGGGACAAATCCAGGAATAGTAGCATTTATCTGCCCAGGCAATCCTATTTCAAGACCTGTAAAAGATCTACAATTAAACAACTCAATCTCTTAATCTTATCCATAAAATATGGATAACAAATATGGATAACTTTAAAGATGAGTTGCAAGTTTGAAATTAATATATGTAGTTCTTTAAACAATGTATGGTAGATAGTAAACACAAAATAACTGATACTTATGAATAATAAGCCCCATTCATTCCTAATCAATTCATATTTCTAAAGTGTATTTCTCCAAACGTTACATACAGTGATTTTCGATGTTCTTTCAAGCCAATTCAAAAGATACTGAGAGGGATAAAAAAGATTTAAGAGGGGCTGGGATTGTGGCTCAGTGGTAGAGTGCTCACCTAGCATGCATGAAGCACTAGGTTCGATCCTCAGCACCACATAGAAATAAAATAAAGATATTTTGTCCACCTAAAAATAAAAAATAAAAAAAGATTTAAGAATTGTTATATCTTAGGCATATAGTTCAGTGGTAGAGCACTTGCTTAGCATATGCAAGACTTTAGGCCGACCGGCCAACACCCATAACCCCCCAAAAAATCACGTCTTTATTAGAATTTTTAAGGTGATTATATCATTCTTATCAGTTTATCCCCTACTATAGGGGGAGGTGTTACTGATAATTGAACCCAGGGGTGATTTACTACTGAGCCACATCCCAAGTCTTTTTATTTTTTATTTTGACAGGGACTTGCTAAGTTGCTGAGGCTGCCTTCAAATATGCAATCCTCCTGCCTTAGTCTCCTGAGTCACTGGGACTATAGGCATGTACCATGGTGCCTCACATGCCCCCTACTATCTACTATAGCCAGGATTTCTCATTGTTTCTAAGATAACAAGCAATTAAATTATATATTTAAAATATACAGATACATCAAATTTATCTTAAAATGCATTTTATTTCAGTAGCCAAAGACCATCAATCAAAGAAAGGAAAGAACACTAATTTCATGAAGACAGACAAATCCATGGAGTGGTTTACAGGAAGTGAAGAATGAGATGGCTCATCTAAAGCAACTTGGAATCATTAGCTACAAAAACTAAATGCAAGACGTGTCAAAATGGGACATTTAAGCAGTTTTGCAAAATTTCACATCTTTTTTTAGCTTTTGTTATTTTTCAAAGTTATATGTAAAAGTTATACAAATCATAGTAACAGCTAAAAATACTAATCTATGAAAGTACTGATTTATAGCTTAAAGTTCTAGTTTGATATTTTTCCATCTTCAAATAGGTTGCCATCATTTGGGATACTCAGTTAAGTTGTGGTTTGAACTTCCTCAACTTGACAAGAAAAGCTAATTTAAGAAGAAAAAAATATAAGGTCATTATATTACATTAATTAAAATAAAAAATAATTTAATATGGCCTGAGAACATTACTCACCTGTATGACCAGCTTGCCAATGTATAGGTCTGGCAATATAGGGAAATGATCCATATGGAAAATCAGAATGTGATCCTTCTGTTGTAGAACAAAATATGTACTATAAGCTACATAAATATTTTATAACTTGTTTATAATAACTGTTAAAATATTAATTACTATCCCTTTACTGAAGTTTTTTCCTCAGACTTTTTTTTTTTTAAAGCCATTTGTTTTGGAACTACTCTGCCAGACACTATACAGAAACAATTCGTCAATGATTATATAATAACTTTATCATATGGTTTTAACCAAAAGGATAAGCCCATATCATAAATCAATGGTATCTGAAAACTTTTTCATGGTCTAAATAATGTGTATAATACAACAAGAAGCTAAATTTAATTCTCTGAAGAATTCCAGCAGCATCTTAGGAGATGCTTTTTGCAATAATAGCTATCTGCATATCAGGTCATATTAAATTCATCTTATCAGTAATAATAATCACTGATCTATGTTTTAAACATCCTTTAGTATATTTAAATTATTTCACAAACCAAGCTCATGGTGACAAACAATAAATATGAATCATATACAATGTTCAATTCTTCAAAGATACCAGAATTTTAAAAGTACAAAAAGTCATTATTTCTCCTATTCATTCTAGGAATATTTTTTATTATATAATGGTCAATACACTTAAGTTCTCCATTTATCACAAACAGATGCATAAAGTAAAATTTAAGCTCACCATGGTCATTCTCTTGAAAAATCTCACTTTCAACTCCAGTTTCCTTTTGGGTATGTAATTGTAAATCTTTGTTGATTTTAGGTTCTACTTTTTTAACTAAAATTCCATTTTTCTGTTTTGCAAGGCAAACCAACCAATCTCTGACAATGACTTCACTTATCTTTTCACATGAGAGAGCAAGTTCACAGATGCGAATTCCATCTAAAAGTTCAATAACCTGTGTGATGCTTTCAGAAAAGTGAAAAATATACCTTTACATTTCTACCAAAATAATAACTCTACATTTATTTTAAGTTCACTGTACATCTTACCCAAATTTAAGTGATATTACCCAAATTTAAGTGATATTACCCAAATTTAAATGCTATATATAATTAAATTAAGGGGAAGGGGATTAAAAATGCAAGTTGACACATAAGTAATGTCACAGACTACTAAATAAAAAATAGAGACATTAATTTAACATTAGTGTTCACATTATGATTTGAAAAATTCTTCCCAATTGTTGGAAGAAACATGTATCTTATTATTTATGTAAAGGATGATTTAAATAGCAATATAACTGAATTTGGACCATACGTCATATTTTGCCTTAGTTATAATATGAATGTATATACCCAGTTACAATATGAACATTTTAATCCAGTATTTAGGAAAAATAAAAAGTGTATTTAAAAATCAGATTAGAAAGAAAAATGTCCCTATTACTCACTTTGCTAGATAAACAGCACATATACCACCCTGTTTAAGATTTGGATATAAAACAGGCAAAGCAACTTGAGGGTTTAACATATCCAAAGCTACCTGTGGGGAAGGGGGAAAAATGAAATGGATCAGTCTGATTGTTTAAATAAAGCATGGGTTTTCTATTCTTAATTGTGGTGAAATGACACTTTTAGAAAGCTATTACCCAGTTATTTCTTCGAATATGGTACTTTTAGAATATTAGCTGTCATTTTACTGCTCCCCAAATGGTTGTTTATCACTATACAATTTGTCATAGCATTTGACTATACATAAAAATCATAATGGTATACCTTGTACTTGGCAATATTAATAGAGAAATCTTTCTTTGGCTATTTATGTATACGTGAATATGGACAAGAATTCCTGTATTAATATTGCCATATGGGGCTGGGGATGTGGCTGAAGCGGTAGCGCGCTCGCCTGGCATGTGTGCGGCCCCGGTTCGATCCTCAGCACCACATACAAAGATGTTATGTCCGCCGAAAAATTAATAAATAAGTTAAAAAAATTCTCTTAAAAAAAAATTAAAAAAATATTGCCATATGTAAGACATAATGTTATAACATAAAAAGTTAAAATGTATTTGAGGTCTTGTAATTTTAAAAATATATCTTTATTTTGTTGTTTATTTTTATGTGGTGCTGAGGATCAAACCCAGAGCCTCACATGTATGAGAAAAGCGCTCTGCCACTGAGCCACAACTCCAGCCCTCTTGCTAAAATATAAATTTAAAATGCTTTAGTTCAGTTTTGGTAGTAAAAATTCACATTATTTTAAAATGTTTTAATTTTTTATGTTTAAAGGAGAAGCTCTGAATATTAATTTTGGAGGGTAAGAAACGTGCCCCTTATTGCTTTTTTCTTTATTCAATTGTAGATTACAGGGCTGTAACAGATGACAAGTACAATGAGTAAATGAATGATTGAAATTTTCAAGTAAAAAATTAATTAAAAACAGGGGCTGAGGCTGGGCCTCAGAAGCAGAGTGCTTGTTTAACACAGGTAAGGCACTAGGTTAGATCCTCAACACCACATAAAAAATGAATAAAGTGGGCTGGGATTGTGGTTCAGCAGTGGAGCGCTCGCCTAGCACGGGCGGGCCCGGGTTTGATCCTCAGCACCACATAAAAATAAAGGCATTGGGTTGTCCATCTACATCTAAAAAATAAATATTAAAAATAAATAAGTAAATAGATAAATAAAGTTATAAAATATACATACTTTAAAAAATTAATTAAAAACAAAAAATCCAGTCAAAGTTCATTTATTGTTGGAAAACTCCAGAAAGCTTAGAATTATTGGCACATCTATTTATTAAATGATATATTATTGTTTATGTGTTTGTTTAAGTAGCTCAGAGTGCTTGATTAGTATGTATGAGGCCCTGGGTTCAATCCCCAGTACTCCAAAAATTCAAACAAACAGTGGGGTGCGGTGGCAAACGCCTGTAATCTCAGTGGCTCAGGAAGCAGAGACAGGAGAATGGGGAGGTTCAAAGCCAGCCTTGAAATGGCGAAGTGCTAAGCAACTCAGTGAGACCCTTGTCTCTAAATAAAATATATAAAATAGGGCTGGGGATGTGGCTCAATGGTTGAGTACCCCCTGAGTTCAATCCCTGGTACCCCCCCCCCAAAAAAAATCAAAACACCACCAGTACATTAGACCAATGGACATCATTCACTATTTACCAAATTTTTTAAAAAATATTTTTTAATTGTAGTTGGACACAATACCTTTATTTTATTTATTTCTTTTTTGTGGGGCTGAGGATCGAACCCAGGGCCTCACACGTGCTAGGCAAGCACTCTACCGCTGAGCCACAACCTCAGCCCTATTTACCAAATATTTTCTAAGCATGTTCTTATACATGTCAAGCATTTTCCTAAGTATCTAATGGGAAATTACAATCTCTCTTATGGAAATCTAATTTTTGCGAGGATGTTGATTGACATGAACTATAACCATACAGCAGAATAAGAGGACAAAGACTGACAGGCATGGAAAGGTGCCATTTTATATATGAGCTGGTCAAAGAAGAAATCTGAAGAAAATGATTTACAATGGAAAGTTGGGGGGAAGTGTGCTCCACGCAGGAAAATAGCAAATACAAATGTTCTGAGGCAGTGGGCTACTTGGGGAGTCTGAAGGTGCCACTGTTGCTGACAGTGGAGATGAAAAGGGGAAAATGGTAGGGATATGTGGAAGTAGAGGGGAGACGGCTTACATAGAATTTTGCTGGCTTTAGCTTTACTTAGGGAACAGTCTCTGGAAAGTTTTAAAGAATGACATGATTTTAAAAAAACTTTTGTGAACAATAAAGCATAGTTTAAGCATATAACTTGGTGTATTGACCTCCAGGGGGACTGAATTCAGGGGCGCTTAACCATTGAGCCACATCCCCACCCCTTTTTAATATTTTATTTAGAGACAGGGTCTCACTGAGTTACTCAAGGGCCTCGCTAAATTGCTGAGGCTGGCTTTGAACTTGCGATCCTCCTGCCTCAGCCTCCTGAGCCACTGGGATTACAGGTGTGCGCCACCATGCCTGGCTGAACTTTGCTTCATTTTTCACTGAAATAAGCTAGCCTTACAGCAACAAGTTAAGGAAAGCAAGGAAGATCCCTTATTCCAGGCCTAAGACCATAGTGCCAGGCTATGAATGTTGAGTAGCACCACCAAGGACAAGGCAACTCCAACACTGTAATTCTGAAACTTTTAAGTCACTTAATACCTACACATTCCACATCTCTACCATCTTTGGTTATTGCTTAAAATACCATCCTTTCTTTTCATCTGTCCTTTTATCTACTATACTTCTCCCTAAGTTAACCTCTCACTGCTATAAATCCCTCTAATTTCCACATCTTTAATGAACACTCCTGTACATCCTGACTTCTAAAGATGCTGCTTACCTATTCCCTCTCAAATGGAGGCTATTTATCTCCCTACTTCTCACAACTGAGGTTAGGCTCTGGTCTCAAAATGCTCCCAATGCTGCTTCCTAATTATTATTCCTTTATCCTGGAAACGCTGAGATTTATGATGATCAACTTTTGCTTCTAACTTCTGGTCATTATCCAACATTCATGGACAACTGTGGCACTTGAGTCAGTTTCTCTGCTCCAAATCCCACCATGATATTAAAAGGTA